CCCTTCTTTTCTCGGTAAGTCAGTTGATCCTTTTCTCTTGCCTTTAATCTAGCACGAAACCTAAAAGTCGCCCGCCCCTCAAGGGGGTGAGGCTCTCAAACATGTTATCAAACGATGATGATTTCGAAAATTTTGTTCGAATCACGCATATCAAGGGTTCACTTAAAAGAAGAATCACAGCCCAGAACGAAGGTCTCAAAAAGATCATCTCTGATAAGAACAATTCATCTGTAAAAGACTTGACTGAGGATGTCAATATCACCTCCTTAAAGTCCCCGATCGCTCCCTCTAGGAATAAGCCTCCCAATAAAGACAGCTCTGTGAACAGTAACAATAATAGTAGTCCCATAAAAGGAAAGAGCTCTGACCCAACTAGTCCAAATCGTTATAGTGACGACACGACCGGTGAGTGCTACGTATTCATTGAAGTATGCAACAATAACCTAGAGCAACCTTTTCGCCTTAACTCAGATTCATTCTTTTTCGAACACATCAAAGATCTCAAATTGGATGGTTTGATTAATATCAAAACCATCAGCAATGGCAAAGCCAAACTTGGTTTTGCCACTGCGGTTGATGCCAACAACTTTATAATAAACAATGATTTTGGTCCAAAGTCTTGCAAGGCCTACATCCCTAGAATTTTCACAGAAAAATTTGGGATCGTAAAAAACATTCCACCTTCAATTAAGGAAGAGGACTTTCTCAACTCTGCTACCTCTGATATTGAAATCATTTCTGTTACAAGAATCCTCAGAAGAGACCCTGCAGACAGAGAAATGTTCATCCCAACAAACAGCCTAAAAATTGGTTTCAAGGGTAAACTAATTCCCAAGAGTATAAAATTCAACTATTGCAATATTCCAGTTGACTACTTCATTCCTTCCGTCAGGCTCTGTTATAATTGCGGCCGATTTGGTCACATCGCCAAATTCTGCAAAAGTAAGGAAAGCAGATGCCTGAACTGTGGCAAGTCACCGGCCTGTCCTACGGACTCATGCCTCTCAATCAAATGTCTAGGTTGCGGGTCGCTGGACCACAACGTAACATTTCGAGAGTCTCCAAAAAGAAAGAAAGAGGAAAATTAAAAAAAAATTTTAACCATCCAGAATTTATCTTTTAGAGAATACAAAGAGAAATTCTCTAACAACCCATACAATTTACTTGAAAACTATGACGTAAACTTCCCAGCAATGAAGGACAGCAATGCTCCTAACAATATTAGAGACCCTACTATTGATACAAATAATATTTTAATTAACAAAAACTTCAATGCAGTTTTAAAAAATAAAACAAGTATTCCCAAGTCCTTGCATAGAATGTCTCTCAAGACGCCCTCGACTTACAGTAACAAGTCGCAGGAGCCAAAAAAACCTACCCCGCCCCTTGAAAAGCATACTTTCATCAATAACCATAAATCCACTGAAATGGAGATAATTCTGGAAAAGATTTTCAGGATTCTCTCCATCTCTTCTCAAGAAGACATGCTTAAAACCATCCAAACAGAAATAAGTTCCCTTAAATCAAAATTTGATCTTTTAAAACAAGGTACATCTGGGTCGGCCCTATCATGTTCTAACATTTCTCATGACGTCTTTCATAAAAATACTTCAGGCGTAATGCCCATTCTCTTGATTTTTTCATAAATTCCAACCGTACTGATTTCGCCATCTTGAGTGAAATCTTTCTGTCCGATGAAAAAATTTCCGATCTCAAAATCTCAAATTACAACTCCGCTTATAAATGTAGAAGTGACGGCTATGGAGGTGTTGCCATCCTTGCCAGAAAAGGCATATCCTTCAAACAAATCCCATTTAAATCGACTGCTGACATAGTCATTATCAAAACCTCTTGTCTAAAACCTAATATCGTCATTGCTGCTTGCTATTTCAAGCCCAACATCCCCATTCAATCTTTCCGGGATGACTTTAATCGTCTCTGTGATATGCTCAATAGTTTCCACAATGTCATAATTGCAGGAGATTTCAATGCAAGACACCCTTGCTTTGGTGACTCCGTGTCAAACAATAAAGGCAAAGCCTTGCAAGAAATCATTAAAGCTAGTAACTTCTATTGTCTGAATGATAATTCACCAACCTATTTTCACTCTACGACCAACAATTGTGGTAGCGTGTTGGATCTTACTTTCACTAACGCAACCCATCTCACATTCAAACGGGAGGTTAAAAAAGAAATTTTCCTGGGAAACAGCCACCACCTTCCTATTCTCTTTAATGCCACCTCTATTACCTCGTGCGAGATAAATGACTTTATCTCGAGGAAAAAACTCCTAAATAATCTTATTCACGTATGTCTTGAGCCACAGGTCGAATCTATCCAGTGCTCATTTCAACAAGAAATAATTAACGCCAAATCCGACATCCAAATCTCGAATTCCTACTCACCAAAACCTTGGTGGAACGAGCTGCTCACTTCACAATTCCGTAGATTACAGGCTGCTAAACAAAAATTTTCCAAATACCCCAATATTTCTAATTTTGAAGATTTCAAGTTATCACAAAAAGAATGGAAGAAATCGATTAGAAAAGCCAAAAGATGCCATCGAGCCCTCGTTATCGAAGAACTATGCTCAAATAGCAATACAAAGCCATTCTGGAAATTTTTAAATGGTCATCGCACCACAAAAAATAAATACAAGCACCCCATTTGGGATGATCTCAACAACAAATCCTACCTTGAATGGCTGAAAGCTCAAGTTCCCTCGACATGTGGTCTCCAAACCTCCTTACTTAACTCTCGGATGGAAAACATCTCTCCATTCTCCCTTGATGAACTCATGCACGTCCTTAAGTCGAAAAAGAAGTCCACGGCAGCAGGCCATGACGGAATCAAATATGAAATGATAAAGGTCCTTCCCATGCCAAGCCTTCTAACCCTGCTATCTGCTATAAATGAGCGCTGGATGACCAACTCGTTTCCCACCGTTTGGCGTATAATTAAAATAGTGCCCATTCCTAAACCCGGAAAAGATCTTGAAATATTCACCAACTTCAGACCCATATCCCTCTTGCCTGTTCTTCTAAAAATTACCAACCAAATGATTAAAGAAAGACTAACAAAATTCCTGAATCACTCACACCTTCTCCCGTCAAGGTCCTTTGCTTACCAAAAAAATATCTCCATCGGTATGTGCCTTAATGAAGTCCTTTTCACAATTGCAAATGAAAAAGCAAATGGGAACCAGATAGTCATGCTTTGCTTAGACATTAATAAAGCTTACGACTGTGTAAACTTAGCGAAACTGGACCAAATTCTATCTGATTTTAAAATCCCGACACAAAATAGGCATTGGATTCTCAACTTTCTTTCCTCGAGAACTCTCGTATTAGATTTACATACAGTCGAAGTTTGTGGAGGCTTACCTCAAGGTAGCTGTCTCAGCCCAGTTCTTTTCAATTTATACACAGCCGGTTTACATCAATTACAGGACAATTCTACCCATTTATTTCAATATGCTGACGATTTCCTCATCATCTCTGCTGGAAAATCATTAATGGAAGCAGTCCGTAACCTCGACACTATAGCCAATCTTTTTCACAAACTTTGTGCAGACTTAAATCTAACTTTCAACCCGGAAAAATCAAAAGTCGTTCGCTTTGCTAAGGGTCCCAAAAAAATTTCTTACATTACAATCAATGGTATAAAAATCAGTCCGTCTTCCTCTTTTAAATTTTTGGGCAGAATAATCAACTCAAGTTTAACCACGCATGAGCATTACAAGGATAGCCTCGAAAATTGCAACACAGGCTCAAATGTCATCAAACTTCTGACCAACATTCACACCGGACTCCCACCTAGGAAAGCATTAAACGTTTACAAATCTATTGTTAGATCCAAAATTGAATATCCCTACTCTACATCGTGTAACGCTCCTGCGTATACATTAAAAAAAATACAAACCTTTCAACACTCAATCCTAAGACGTTGTACCGGTTTGTCCCCCTCAACACCAACATCAATTTTACGTTCCATCTCTTATGAACTCCCCGTTGCTAAGAGAATTTATCTTGTAACTGCAAAAGAGCTTCTCAAGGTAAAAATCTTCAAACCTGCCTTCTTTGACGAGGTCGCTTCCAGACACAATCATGTCATCAGTAGTTACTCTAACTGCTTCAAAAAATTCAGTAACATCTTCAATAAAGTTAACTCAATACCCTCCTGGAATAATATTATTCATGATAAATGCGTAGTTGAATTAAACTTACTTAATTCAATCACCAACTCAAAAAAAAATCGATCAGGGTCTTGTCTTCGAATCGCTTGTCTGCAAAAACTTAACCACTTCGATGGTACAGTTTTGTCCATAAACTACCCCCCCAGCGAAGCTTTTCTGCTAGTCAAAAAACTCATCATAAAAGAATGGAAAGATGAGTATCATGTTTTAGGTAGAGAAAAAAGTGACCGGCTGTTCTACAAAATTTACCCTTTTTTGACACCCACGCTTCTACCTAAAGGAAAATTCACAACATGGGAATTTAAAGTTCTTCACCGTCTTATGAGTAATCACACCTACGACAAGGTCTATTTTAAAATGATCAAAGTCTCCTCCTCTGACATCTGTGAGGATTGCAATATTACTGAGTCTGCCGAGCACCTTATTTTTGAGTGCAGGAGGTTTGACATCCTTAGACAATCTTTCAGTATATTTAACCTGTATAACAATCTATATGAAATTTTTCGTGCTGGTAACTTTAGGCATTTGAAGCAACTGACTGCCTTTATCAAATCAGCTGAGTTTTCATTCTAATTTTACATTTAGTATTTCTATTACAATCACGAATCGCCTACACTTTTTCTTTTATCGGCATTATTAGCCGGATCTTGACAGTACAGTAACAAGGACGGTGATTTATGGATTGACAGCGGAACAGAGCCTCTCATTGCGAACACTCTGCCACATCAGTCTACCTATGCTTAAATTTTTTCATCAATCGCTCTCAACTTCGTTTCTGGATTATGGATCTAACATTAACTTAACTGGTCCAATCCATCTCTAAACAAACAAAAAAAAAAGAAAAACGATTCTATATTAATACGGTATTCACACGGTAGTTAATAACATAGTATTCATAATTAACTAGCAATCTTTAATATCTTGTTTGTTGATTTGTAAGCTTGAGCAATAAAAGATGATGGACAACGACGATTTAATTATTTTGGTTATGATAACGGGAATGATGTGCGAGTATTATCGTCGCCGCTGCAGATACAAAAAAAGGTTCTGGGTAAGGCCTTTATATAAAAACCGAGATGTCGATGGATTCTTTGTCACCGCCTTTGACCATATGTACAATAACGACTTTGAGCAATTTAAAGTAAATGTTCGAATGAATCCCAAAATATTTGATCTTCTTTTAAATTTGACCGAGGAGAAATTAACCAAGTCTTCGTGTAGACCTTCTATATCTGCCAAGTGTAGATTGTTTTTAACGCTGCTGTAAGTTCCTTTTTGGTTGGTCAATTCAATACAAGATTTATTTTGTGGTGTTAGCAGATATTTGGCTAAAGGAGAAAGTGTTAGATATTTATCACTTACCTTTAAAATGGGAGCGTCCACAGTACGATCTATCATTCAAGAAACATCGCGAGTTTTATGGGATGTTCTTGCTCCGTTTTATATGTCTTTGCCCAATAAGTCGGGGTGGGAACGTATCGCGGTTGATTTCGAAACTATTTGGAATCTTCCACACTGCGTAGGCGCTATAGATGTAAAACACATTAGTATAGTGCGTCCTGCGAATTCTGGCTCACAATATTATAAAAACAAGGGTAATGTTTTAATGCGTTAAAATATGAAAAGATTTAATAATATTTTTCTTATTTTAGGCACGTGCTCAATAGTTCTGCTAGCAGTGTGCGGCGCGAACTACATTTTTACGGCAGTTGATGTTGGTGCTTGCGGGCCGCAAGGTGATCATGGCATTATGTGCCATTCAGAGTTTGTGAAGCGTTTAGTACAAAATCAATTAGAGTTGCCTGAAGCTACAATCATAACAGGCACCAATATAGAATTTCCATACTATTTTATTGGAGATTCAGCATTTCCTCTGCGGAACAACCTAATAAAACCCTATCCTGGAATTCTTTTGCCAAAAGATAAGGAAACCTTCAACAAGAGGTTATCCCGGGGAAGAAAAACGATTGAAAATGCGCTCGGTGTATTGGCGTCTCGTTGGAGGGTTTTGTTAAGTCCCATCCATATGAAACCCGAGAACGCGGCATCGGTAGTAAAGGCCACTGTTGTTTTGCATAATTTTGTAAAAATGCACGACGAATCTTATTGCCCACGAGAATATGTTGATTCTGAAGAAAATGGTGAGCTAAAAAGCGGATTATGGCGGAAGAATACAGCACCGCTGCGCAAAGCAAGCAAGTTGTCGGGAAATAACGCCAGCAGAAGTGCGTTTCATATACGTGATATTTTGAAAAATTATCTAAGCCAAAACGGCATTTAATGATATAAATTTAACGTAAACTATAAGTCCGTTTAAGTTTATATAAATAAAAATTAAAGGAACGTGGACACGAAAATCCGTGCTTCTATTGTTTTAACCTATAATACAATTGTTAGATTCGTCCATTTAAACGAGTAAGGAAAATATATTCCGTCGTGGCCGAATCTTTTATACTCATCACCGTGATCTTAAAAAAACGAAAAGAATGGAATTTTCATATTCTACGATATTGGATGGGTACGTTTGATTTTTTATATTTTTAGAAAAAAAGTGAAACTTTATTTGTATGCGTTACCATTTATAAGTATTTGTTATTTATTTATTTATTTATTTATTCCACTTATACTAGAAACTTGACTAAACAAATAACAGTCGAGTTCAATTGGCTTTTAATGCAAAACTTATATTAATTAATAATAAAATTTAGTATAAGTATAATAAAACAAATAAGACGAAAAAAAAAAAGAAAAAAGAAAAAAAGCATGTACACTATCAGCATAGGAGCACACTTACAACCGGTACAGGACCAAATTGCAAATGAACCCCTAAGCCATCGCAAACATGCATAAGCCTGGCAACCGATAATAAATTGACAATAATTCACTTTCGAAACGTAACGACTTTTTAAGGATAAAAGCTAGTTTAAATACGACATAGGTAAATCGCGCGTATTAAGCAATGTTGCTTTAATGGACTTTAAAGAGTCCGATAACGAGAATAAGTGATAGACGTCATTTAGGTTCTTGCAAACTACTCTGAGCGGATTGAACAGCTCATAATTATATTCACATTGACTAACCTTAACCAAGATAAAGCACCTAGAGAAGCGGTTAGCGACATTAAAGCTTATTTCACCAAGTAATAACGGCGAGTCAATAGCACCATCTATTACTTTGATTACAAAGGAAACGCCAAGAACAAATCTACGTTTCTCAAGAGACGGTAAGGATAACAGAAGCAATCTGTTTTCATAGGGAGCAAGAGAAGCAATCGGATCCCAACCCAAATTTCTAAGGGCAAACAGCAAGAATAGCTTTTGAACAGATTCAATTGAATCTACGTAGCACCTATATGAAGGCGACCACACAACAGAGGCATACGCGAGTATGGGTCTAACCAAACACATGTGCAGCCTTTTCGTAATGTAGGGGTTATCAAGCTCTTTGGACCACCTTTTTATAAAACCAAGCGCGGACCTAGCTTTGCTTATCGAGAGCTCAATATGCAAGTTGAAACGTAACCTATAGTCAAATAGAACGCCTAAATCGGTGATCGAATCGACGTCCTCCAACTTATGCGAACCTTTGAAATACTGAGTAATGAATGACTTCCTTCTTGAGAAAGAAAGCTTTTTACATTTACTCAGATTTAGTTTCAGAAGATTCAAAGAGCACCATGCAACAAAATTATCCAAATCACCTTGAAGCTGGTGTGATTGCGATTCAACAGAGAAGGAAGAAAACAGTTTCACATCATCAGCATACATTAAGATCTGGCTGGAATTAACCACCGATGGGAGATCGTTAATGTATAAACTAAATAAAATAGGACCTAAGTGACTTCGTTGAGGTACGCCAGACGTAACGGGGAATTCATCCGAGGTGATGGAGTTAAACAAAACCCTGAAGGATCTATTGTGCAGATAAGAGCTTATCCATTTCACTAAGTAGGGTGGGAAACCAGAGGGTTGGAGTTTAAAGATAAGTAGTCTATGGTTAACCATATCAAATGCTTTGCTTAAATCAGAGTATATCACATCCGTGCGAGAGCCACTAGAGAAAGCCTTGAAAGCATGACAAGTAAACTGTAACAACTTGGTGACTGTAGATCGCCCGTTCCGAAAGCCGTGCTGGTGCGGAGAAATATACGAATTAATGGCAAAGGCCAAATGCTGAGTCACAATACGCTCGAACAACTTGGGCAAGACACTCAACTTGGCTATGCCTCGGTAGTTCCTAACAAGTTGTCTATTTTCACTTTTGTGTAATTAAAATATATTTTAAAATTATATTTACACTATTAAACGCAAATTATTATGTACAATAGCATACACGTAAATATCACGTCAGGATGCTAAGCCAGTATCCAATAACTAAACTCCTTTTCCTTTACGTAATATGAGAGACATACAATATATAATTAACATCGCGAACGTCATCAGCAGGATTGCAATTATAGATCATACCCGTCGTCCCAAATTACAGC